ATATATATATATATATATATATATATATGACAAACAATTTATACATGTATTACAAACAATCATAAGTCAGTGTTGTTTTTCTTGGCAATACAAATCATAATTGGCAACAAACTATCATTATTTTTTAATGTATACGTTAATTAAGGAAACTGAGAATGTTTCATACAAGTGATAACGTAATAAACGTATAAAAAAGTTTTATATATTGCAGATAATTCTTGAAAGCTGCTTAAATAAAAACGTGCTGTATCAGACTTTGAGACCGTGGCTAGGAACGGGACTCATTACTGCTCCTGGTGAGATCTTGCAAAAAAATAAACTTATTTGTCTATAATTGATATACAAAAAATACGTAGTCATTAAATTTTTGCATGATGTCGGTTAGATGCAATGATATAATTTATTATATTAGTAAAACAAAGTAGAATATTTATGTTACTCACACATACATAGACTCACATTGAGCAACAGCGTCTACTTTATTAATTAATAATATTTACTTATCTCAGTGTTTCCGCTGTAGTAATATCTTATAGTTTCTATGTAGATATGCTCGAATCAATATTCATTAGAAAATACATTTTTAATTCTTTATTAGTATTTTAATTTCTAATTGATACATATGTAAGCTTCCCACAGCACGAATGTTCGTCGACTTATAGTCGAATTTTTTTAGTCAATTTTAAGTCGGAATTTTTAAAATCAACGTTTAACCGTCTTTTTCTAGGTTGGCTTTTTGTCGACTTTAACTATCGTCTGTAAGTCGACTTAGGGTCGACTATTTCATAACATTGGCTGAAATGTTAGAGTCGACATAAAGTCGAATTCTAAGTCGATTCTAAGATGTAATCATACACACACATGCGCGCGCGCACATACGAGGGTAGTCCCAGAAGTACCCGGCCTAACAAAGAAAACACAAAAATTTTGAAAAAATATATCTTTATTTCTCAACATAGTCCCCTTTTAGCTCGATACACTTTTCCCAGCGATGTTCAATAGCTTCGATACCATGTTTATAGTGAGAACCATCGAGTTCCTCAAAATAGCCATCAACCGCAGACTCCACCTCTTCATTGTTAGCAAATCTTTTACCACCAAGCCATTTTTTCAAGTTTGGAAATAGATAATAATCTGAAGGGGCTAAATCTGGTGAATAGGGTGCGTGAAAAAGCAATTCGAACTTTAACTCATTGATTTTGGCCATCGCAATAACGGACGTGTGAGCCGGTGCATTATCATGATGAAACAACACTTTCTTTTTCGCCAAATGCGGACGTTTTTTCTTGATTTCATCACTCAAACGCTGCAATAAGTTCGCATAATACTCGCCGTTGATTGTTTTT